CCCCCCCCCCCCCCTGTCCCGATTTGGTTTATTTCCTTCAGGATTTCGTGTTCCCGAGCGAGGACGGGCCTCCCGTGGACGAGCGAATGTCTTCGGCCGTGTCGAACTTTTTGAAGTCCCACCGGGAGGCGTGACAAGGACTTCCAGCGCCTTTTCGTCCATGTGTCCGTGTTTTGAATTCACGTGTCGTGTGCGCGAGGCATGCAATGGTCCGGATTTTGTCGGTTTCGATACGCTTGCTAAGGCATCGAACGATGCTGTGTCTTTGCTAAGGCTTGTCCGAGGTCGGCGCCCGCTGGTGCTTGCGATGTAAATATAGAAGATCGAGCGAAGCACGTATGTCGTTGAGGTGTTGGGCTGTCTCATCCTTCTGATTTTCTTGTTTTTGGCAAGAATTGAACACACCACGCTTCGCTGCGGTTTCAACCCCCCAAGCCGAAAGCTTGGTGCGGCGAACGTTGATCGAGAGTTGTCGCCAGTATCCTTCGCGAGCATTCATATATGAAGCTTGGTTTTAGTAGGGGGTACGGGGTGGCGTTGGGGGTTAGGGTTAGGGATACGGGTACGTTCCCCTTTCTCTTTCACACATAAAACGAGTCCTCGCGAACGTGATCTGTTGTCAACCTGATGAATTCTGTACTCCTTCCTCCTCTCGCAGCAGCACCCTCGCCCCGACGGCCCTGGGTTTACCCGAGCCATACGACTCCAACGGCGGGCGATTTAGCTAGGGGGTGGGTAGCGCAGCACGGGCGGAGGATTCCCTCCTTTTCTTACTGAAAAACGTTGCATGTGTTGTCGCCAAGATTGAACTCTGGTTCTTTGCCCTGGACCATGTGTTGTTTTTTTGGTGAAAGCTTTAGCCTAGTTTTCTTAGTTTGACTGCGGGCCCGTTCTGTATCGGCTCAACATCCAATCCCAAATTGGAGCGTGAAAGTGGTCTCGGGAGAGCTGCAAAAGCCGCTTGAAAGGAGGGGGAGGAGGAGGAAAATGACTCCCAATATATGGCGTGTGCTGCCGCACTTACGCCGTGTGCATACGGCAAACCGACGTTAGAGGGAGCTCGCGGTTACGTCACCTTACCTCTTGATTGCCCTCTCCTGGCTCTTTGGATGGACTGAACAGAAGGGGGAACGAGACGCCTCCTTGCAGGCAGGGGGCGCTGTGGCAACATCCTCATGATACCACAGCCAGCCGTGAAAATGGAGCACAAAAAGATGAAAGTCTAGGTTGTTCAAATTGAGCATTGTAATTTTCATGGGCACGTCGCACGCGATTGATTTTCCGCCAAGCGGATGGAATATTATTCATATCGACTATGACCTCACAAGAACGCATCAGACGTGATAAAACTTTACTACTATATATTTAGCGTGGGAAAGGTCGTAATACGCATAGGCCACGAGCATGGTTCTTGTTTCTGCATTTTGAATAGATGGGCATACCGCCAGCACCAATCTGCGGACTCCCTATTGTAGAGATTTGAGATTTTTCAGCGATTTCGAGATATGCCCATCACTCAGAAGCAGGGATGCCCGTCAACCCCGCTTTGGTCTCGGCCGCTTGGAACGTGCTGGAATACACTTGGGTGAGGTGGTGCTTTGTAATCACGTCATTTCTGGTCTCGCTCTCTTCCTCCAGCTAGCTGCAATCGACCCGAGTCGCGCCACCCCCCGCATAGTCGAAGCTGCGTTCACAGCAGCAGCAGGTCTGCGGCGCCGATCTTCATGTTGCTGTCCCGCTCTGGATAGCAACCTCAACCGACCCAGTTCTCTACGGCAGTAGATCTACACACGGCAAGTCTTAGATGCCTGTTATATTCGTGGGTTCGGTGCTTGGATCCCCTTGATCGCGCAGAAGAAGCCGTCGGTGGCCGCTTAGTCGGCAATCACCGCGACGAGCGTTCACGCTCCGCAAATCGCGTCGCGGAGTCCCCGGGCCTAAAGTTGATAAAAGTCAGTTGTTCGCGTTCGGGGGCACTGCCGTGAGGGTCATGCACGATAGATCGAGATGCATTGCGCAAAGAACCTTTTCAAAACTTTCGCCACACCCTGTCGAAACTCATGGGCATGCACAGGATCATGACCGTGGATGATTTCAGCGGCAATAATCGACATAACAGGGCGTATACTTTTGCACGCTGGTCAGCAAGCGACCCAGCCTTGGGTGCACATCGTTTGGCGAGCGTCAAACGAGCCTTGAATATTCGTCAACGTTCACATTAGCCACGTATTACCTGGGTTTTACCTCTGCCATGGCTACTTTTTTCCAGGATTGTATGGGCGAAATCCTCCGCTGCATCTATTTCAGATCCTGACATACTGTACCCACCAGGAACTCTTCGTGCTCGCAACAAACACAGCAGTGAATGACACACAACATAATTCCGTTGGGCAAGGAAAGCTGCATGTTACGGTGTATGCACGATACGACTCACGCTCAGAATGCGACCGATCCAGCGTAGTTGAGAGCAGTGGGGTTTCAAAGAGATGTATACGTGGATGTATGTGTGGCGGCGAGCTTATGGTTGCAGAACCGCGCGAGGACACAAACACACGCCAAGCGAATCATCATGGAAGGAGGCCAGTGGCGCACAATTGGCCTACCTAGTCGTCCTACAACAGTGGCCATCGATGTCGACCCTGCTTATAGCACCCCCCCCAAGTCCTATCGTCAGGGTTCAGAAAGCAGCTCTTTTATCCTCCGGTCCTCCAGCACAATTCCGTGTGTTGCAGCGCGTTCAGTCCCTGTTTTTTGGGGGGTATTACGCTCACCCCATCCGTGACGAATCGCTCGGGTGTGTGTACTTTTTGTTAGCATCGACTGCGCTAACCAGCTGACCAATAAAAATGTAGGTTGTGTCTTCCGCCTCTCCGCCACTACGGGCTCGCTGCCACACACCGGCGCGTACATCCTTTTAGTCGTGAGCAATGAAAATGTATGTGTGTGTCCTTCCGCCTCTCCGCCACTACGGGCTCGCACCCACACACCGGCGCATACATCCTTTTCAGTCGACGTTGCAACTATATCTTACCTTCACCCGTGCTGAATCGGTCGCGTCCTGCGCGTGACTCGTATCTCGCATTACCCGTATCTGTACATATTGATCGGCTGCTGTCCCTTTCGTGGTGTGTACCACCGATTGTTTGTTTCAAGCGGGAAGAGTTCATGGTTGGTGTCCTACGGTAGGAGCAAAAAATACATTCCTGCGGAAGAAATGGCCGATGAAAGGGGTTATTTCGTTTTTTCCCGTCAGATCAGGGCACGTTTTCGGGAGAAACGTAGCTGCGGCAGGGTGTACATTGGGCAGTTTTGGACACGGCAAGGTGAAAGTAGACGTTGGCCAATCCGCATGCCCCCGTTGACACAGCCAAGAAATGTGTACCCAGCGGAGTCGTTTTTTGACCGGGATATCCTGTTGTGTAGATTTTGCCCTCCCCCCAGTTCAGCCCCCCCGGTGTTTACCATCGGGGTTGGGTTTTCGTCGCTTGGCAACGACGTTGTAAAACAAGCCGCCCCGCCCGGTGTTTTGCCATCGGGGTTGGGTTTTCGTCGCTTGGCAACGACGTTGTAAAACAAGCCGCCCCCCCCGGTGTTTGCCATCGGGATTGGGTTTCGTCGCTTGGCAACGACGTT